TATGCCCGAGGAGATGGTGTGGTTCGTGAACTCCTCCCAGTCCACGAGCTGGTCCCCGTTGATGTCGATCTGGCGGAAGAGCTCGTGGAGCAGCGACACGACGGACGACGCCTCGCGCGCGTCGCCTGTGTGCAAATCAACCAGTGAGCTGGGATGTCGGGGCCAAACTTCAGAAATCTCTAGCTCGGTCAAATCGAAGTCGATTCGGCTGATTTTTGGACGGATCGATTGCTCTCGTCGAGTTCTCGAAGCACAGCGAAAGAGTCTGGTCCAAATCGTTCGATTACGCGCACATTGAAGTCGGGTTGAATATTTGATTTCCACACAGCGCGTCGCGGAGCCGCGGCTCGACGCCCAGCAGCTGCTTGAACAAAATGTCCACGAAGGCCCGCACGGCGAGGCCGTCGCGCGCCTTCATGAACTGGGGCTTGAGCAGGGGCAGCGCCGTCGACGACAGCGCCGCGCAGATCATGGGCACGGACCCGAAGAGCCGCACGTCGCCGACCTGGGGAAAGCGTGATTCAACGTCGCTTCAACGTGAGCGTTCCGCGCGCGCGCGTCCCGGGAAAAGCATCCACGCGTCGAGACCGTTCCGAGAGACGATCGCTCGTCCAAACATCAGCCGAAACGAGTGGAAACCGGCCGGGAGAGGAGCCTCTAAAGTTGGGCACGTCGCGCCCTTGTCCCGCCCCGTCGCCGACGCGGAGCCACGGGAAGAGGTCGCTCATGGACTGCTGCACGGCGTGCGCGACCTCGTCGCGCGTCCGCGACAGCGACTGGCCCAGCACGCCCTCGATGTTCCAGATGGGCAGCAGGCCGCCCTCGCCCTCGTCCGCCGCCTTGCCTGTGGTTTGCGTCTCGGCCGAGTTTCGGACGGATCGATTGGTGTCACATCGACGTCGTCGCGGCCGCGTTTTGGACGGCTCGCTCTCTCTCGGCGAGTGCGTTTCCGAAACCGTGCGAATATATCGAAGTCGCGTCGTGTCTCCCGCGCGGCGCTTCGACCTTTTTTGGGCGCCGCGCCCGTCGCGGACGCCTCGAAGGACGCGCGCGACAGCTTGAAGAGCACGACGAAGTTGGAGCCCTTGTCGATGAGGACCGTCGGCGTCTCCTTCTCCGCGTCCTTGAGCGCCGTCGGCTCGTCGAGCGCGGGCGTCCGCGGCTTGGGGAGCTCGCGCTTGAGGCCGTTGTTGAAGAGCGGGTTCACGCTGATCAACGTGCGCTCGTTCCAGGGGATCTTCACGGAGTCCGCGGGCTGGCTGCTCTCGACGAAGACGAGGTGCTTGATGGTCACGTCGAGCGTCTCGAGCTTGACGTCGCCGAACGTGCCCGTGAACTGCGACGCCGTCAGCGCCACCTGGGCGGGAAACGGGCGCGAACTTCCCGACGTCAAAGGCTCCTCTCTCGGCCGGTTTCCGCTCGTTTCGGCTGATTTTGGGACGGGCGATCATCTCTCGGAGCGCTCTCGAAGCGTGGATGCTTTTTGTAGAACGCGCGCGCGCGGAACGCTCACGTTGAAGCGAACGTGAATCACCCCGTTCCCGCCCCGAGCGCTACCGCTTGCACGCGATTCGCGAAGCGCCGCGTGTCGATGAAGATCTTCTCGGACTTGGCCGAGTCGTCGCTGCTCACGGCGTCGCCGCCGTGGGACACGGCGCGGTCGTTGGACACGGGGTTGTTGAAGTCCACGGTCTCGAGGATGCGGCCCTGCGGGGGGGGGGGGGGGGGGGGG